TCAGCAGAAGCTCAGGGATGACCTTAAATGGCCCCTTCCAGCACTGAGACTTGCTTTCTTCAAACTAGCAACCAGGCCTGGGATTACCTCACTCAGCAGCCTCAGATGACTAAAGGGAGCATCTCTAACTGGTGAGGTCTAACCCAATCAAAAGTCTTCTATAATATAATAAATAATATTTAAGAGATGGGGTGTTGCTCTGTCGCCCAGGCTGGAGTGCAGTGGTGCGCTCATTGCTTACTGCAGCCTCAAAGTCCTGGGCTCAAGGGATTCTCCCACCTCAACCTCCCCAGTACCTGGGACTACAAGCATCACCACCATGCCTGGCTAAGTTTTAATTGTTTTGTAGAGATGGGGTCTCACTATGTTGCCCAAGCAGGTCTTGAACTCCTGGCCTCAAAGGAATCCTCCTGCCTCCACCTCCCAAAGTGCTGGAATTACAGGCATGAGCCACCATGTCCAGCCTTTTTTTTTTTTTTTTTTGAGATAGAGTCTTGCTCTGTCGCCCAGGCTGGCGTGCAGTCGCGCCATCTTGGCTCACTGCAACCTCTGCCTCTCGAGTTCCAGTGATTCTCATGCCTTGGCCTCCTGAGTAGCTGGAATTACAGGCACGCACTGCCATGCCCAGCTAGTTTTTTGTAATTTTAGTAGAGACAGAGTTTCACTGTGTTGCTCAGGTTGGTCTCGAACTCCTGCCCTCAAGTGCTCCGCCTGCCTTGGACTCCCAAAGTGCTGGAATTACAGGCATGAGCCACTGTACCCTGCCCTCCCCACAACCTTTTTTTTTTTTTTTTTCTTTTTTTGAGACAGAGTCTCACTCTGTGGCCCAGGCCCAGGCTGGAGTACAGTGGCTCAATCTTGGCTCACTGCAACTTCTGCCTCCCAGGTTCAAGCGATTCACCTACCTCAACTTCGCAAGTAGCTGGGATTACAGGTGTGTGCGACCTCGTTCGGCTAATTTTTTGTCCTCTCCTTTTTTTTCCATTTCTTCTTCTTCTCTTTTTTTTTTTTTTTAAAGAGGAAAAGCAATTCCTGGCCTCCCGGCCTGGGCCAGCCGAAATAACTTAGGAAGAATGTGGGCAGGACCAAGACCTCTCACCTCCACCTACCTATCCTGACATTAGTACTGTTTTCTTAAAATTATGGGTGAACTTTCCACTTTAGAGACCTGCAGCGTAAACTGGGCAAATGGAATGGCTTGTTTTCATCTGTGTTGGGGCCCAAGATGAGATAGTGACTAGATTTTAAGGCTGAGGGGTTGCATTTACCGGGTTCATGAACAGGAATTCCTGTAGGGCCTAGATATTTATCAGCACAGCCAAGGCCTGGGGGACAGTTTCGAGTTTCAGCTCCAACACTTCCTGCATGCCAAAGCTGCGCCAGCCTCCTTTTTTTCTTTTTTATTGTCGGGCGGTCGGTTTGCTAACCAACTGAGCTAATCGGCCGCCCGACAGCCAGTCTCCTTTTTTAAAAAAACAAAAAACATTTAGTCATAGAAATGTTCAAGTATATGCAAAAGTAGAGAAAATACAGTAATAAAATCCCCCTTCAGCAATCATCAACATTTGGCTAATTTTGTTTCAACCATGTACCCTCAAACACTGTTCCCAATCCCAACATTTTTTTTTTCTTGTGACAGGGTCTCACTCTGTCGCCCAGGCTGGAGTGCAGTGGCGACTTCTTGGCTCACTGCAACCTCCACCTCCCAGGTTCAAGCGATTCTCCTGCCTCAGCTTCCTGAGTAGCTGGGATTGCAGGTGTGTGCCACCACACCTGGCTAATTTTTGTATTTTTAGTAGAGATGGGGTTTCACCATATTGGTCAGGATTCACCATACTGAATTCCTGACCTTGTGATCCACCCTCCTTGGCCTCCCAAAGTGCTGGGATTACTGGCGTGAGCCACCGTGCCTGGCCAGATTTTTGTACTTTTTAGTAGAGACGAGATTTTGCCATGTTGCCCAGGCTGATCTCGAACTCCTGAGCTCAGGCACCCTGTTTGCCTTGGCCTCCTAAAGTGCTGGGATTACATATGTGAGCCACTGTGCTCAGCCTTGATACTTTTCAATTTAAGGTAAAATACACCATGATTTTTTTGTTTTTGAGACAGAGTCTAGCTCTGTCACCTAGGCTGGAGTGCAATGGCACAGTCTTGGCTCACTGAAACCTCTGCCTCCTGAGTTAAAATGATCGTCCTGCCTTAGCCTCCCAAGTAGCTGCTGGGACTACAGGTGCCTGTCACCACACCCAGCTAATTTTTCTGTATTTCTATTTTATTATTATTTTTTGAGATGTAGTCTCACTCTGTCACCCAGGCTGGAGTGCAGTTGCAGGATCTCAGCTCAGTGCAATATCCGCCTCTTAGGTTCAATCGATTCCTGTGCCTCAGCCTCCAGAGTAGCTGGGATTATAGGTGTACACCACTGCACTGGGCTAATTTTTGTATTTTTTGTAGAGATGGGGTTTCACCATATTGGCCAGGCTGGTCTTGAACTCCTGACCTTATGTGATCAGCCTGCCTTGGCCTCAAAGTGCTGAGATTACAGGGGTGAGTCACTGTGCCTAGCCTGATTTTTCAATTTTTTAATAGAATTATATAAAATATACATTTCCAAAGTCAAATATACAAAACAAAGTATATTCAGAGGCATCTAGGCTCTTTGTCCTTCATTCTATTCTCTCCCTCCTATGTCAACATTAAAAAATTTTAATTTATACTCCCAGTTTAAAAATTTATACTTGTACCTCACTATTCCTTTTCCCAGATGAACAGTAGAGATAGTAGACATACTTTATTCTTGACTTTAGCAGGAAAGCCTCTAGTGTTTCACCACTGAGATCTTCCTTTAAAAAAACTGTTCTTGTAAAATGCGGGCTATACTATCCATTCCATCTGACGTTCCACAGCGCTTCCTGGAAAGATAAAATGAACAATGTGGAAACTCACAATGAAAAATAGTACACAAACATGCCTGTTGACTGAGCATCAGTCAATTCCAGGAAAGCCTCAAGATTCCTGAACTTTTTTGAAGCAGTTTGGATAATTTAAAAAAAAAGAAGAAAGGATTCCTGAATCCACTTACATTTTACACAAAAATAAACGGAGGTGGCCGGGCGCGGTGGCTCAAGCTTGTAATCCCAGCACTTTGGGAGGCCGAGGCGGGTGGATCACGAGGTCAAGAGATCGAGACCATCCTGGTCAACATCGTGAAACCCCGTCTCTACTAAAAATACAAAAAATTAGCTGGGCATGGTGGTGCGTGCCTGTAATCCCAGCTACTCAGGAGGCTGAGGCAGGAGAATTGCCTGAACCTAGGAGGCGGAGGTTGCGGTGAGCTGAGATCGCACCATTGCACTCCAGCCTGGGTAACAAGAGCGAAACTCCGTCTCAAAATAAATAAATAAATAAATAAATAAATAAATAAACGGAGGCTCACAGAACTAAGGGGCCCTTCCCCAAGTAACATAGGGAGCAGGTGGGAACTCTCATTTCCTGTTCTGCAGTTCAGGGGTCTTCTGCTACCTGGAGAAGCTCAGAGCCCAGGATAAATCCACTGACATTGAAAAAAAAAAACTTAATGCAAGGAGGGTATGGTGGCCACTGCCTGTAATCACAGTACTTTGGGAGGCCAAGGCAGGTGGACCACTTGAGGTAAGGAGTTTGAGACTAACCTGGCCAACATGGTAAAACTCTGTCTCTACTGTAAATACAAAAAAATTAGCCAGACATGGTGGCAGGCACCTGTAATCCCAGCCACAAGGGAGGCTAGGGTGAGAGAATTGCTTGAACACGGAAGGCAGAGGTTGTAGTAGCTGAGATTGCACCACTGCACTCCAGCCTGGACAACAGACACTGTGTCTCAAACAAACAAACAAAAAGCACTGAACCCACAATTCGGAGTTTTTTGTTTGTTTGTTTTTGAGACAGGGTCTGGCTCTGTTGCCCGGCTAGAGCACAGTGGTACTGTCAGAGCTCACTGCAGCCTGGAACTCCTGGGCTCAAGGGATCCTTCCTCTTCAGCCTCCCCAGTAGTTGGGCCTACAGGTGAGATGGGACTACAGGACTACACCACACCCAGCTAAATTAAAAATTTTTTTTGGTTGAGATTCAGTTTTGTGGGGTAGAGTCTCCCTGTGTTGCCCAGGCTGGTCTCCAACTCGTGGCTTCAAGCCAACTTCCTGCCTCAGCCTCCCAAAGAGTTGGAATTGTAGGCATTTGCCACTGCACCCAGACCAGATATCTATTTTTTATACAAATTAGTATTTCAGGAAACTCTCCAAGGGAAAAGTAGTTACAAAAAGCCGCAAGAGTGGGTGTATCCCAGGAGGGAGCCCAGGGTGGGGTGGGCGACCCCCACCCTCACTCATACGGGGGAAGCTCTGGTCGGAGAGACTGAACACTGGAAATGCTGTGGAGGTCTGAGTGGGGAGGTCAGGGCACACTGGACCATTACGTTTAAGCTGCCCCATTTATGACTGGACGCAGTGGCTCACACCTGTAATCCCAGCACTTTGGGAGGCCGAGGCGGGCGGATCATGAGGTCAGGAGTTTGAGACCAGCCTGACCAACATGGTGAAACCTCACCCCTACTAAAAATACAAAAATTAGCCAGGTGTGATGATGGGCGTCTGTAATCCCGCTACTCAGGAGGCTGAGGCACGAGAATCGCTTGAATCCGGGAGGCGGAGGTTGCAGTGAGCCGAGATTGCGCCACTACACTCCAGCTTGGGCAACAGAATGAGACTCCATCTCAAAAAAAAAAAAAGCTGCCCCATTTGGCGCCCCAGGAATGAGGACCGACACACTGGGCATCGCAGCACGAGCCGGATTAAGATTCCTCTGGGCAGGTCACCCATAGCAGTTTTCAAGAGGAGGAGTGGCCTTGATGAGGTCCCATAGGGCTTCAACCGGCCACAGCTCAAAAACACAACGGCTTGGGGGCGGTGCCGAGGCTGTGAGTGCGGAAGCCCGCCAGGGACCTGGGGGCGGGGCGAGGGGAATGACGTCTGGGAGCACCAATAGGGTGGGCGGGATTGCTGACTCCGCCCCCGAAGGTAAGGGTTAGCGGTTTCCGGTAGCGGCGCTGGGAGGGGCGGGGGAGAGGAGGAGGTGGCCAGAGGCTGTGTGCCCTGACCCTTGGACCGCCTGAGACCGCGTCCCCAAGGCACATCCAAAGATGATGGGCTGTGGGGACTCAGAGTTGGAGTCGGTGGACGGGGAAGAAGCCGCGGCGGTCCCGGGGCCACCCCCCGAGCCCCGAGTCCCGGAACCCCGAGCCCCAGTGCCCGAGCCCGGCCTGGACTTGAGCCTGAGTCCGCGGCCTGACAGCCCCGAGCCGCGGCCTGACAGCCCTGGGCGGCGGAAGGGGCGGGCGGAGCGGCGGGGCGCGGGTCGGCAGCGGCGGCAGGTGAGCGAGAGAGGCTGGCCCACGGCCCACGATGGCCCCGCGCCCACCTGGTCACCGCCCTGCCCTTTGCTCCCAGGTCCGTTTCCGCCTGGCACCACCTTCCCCGGTGCGGTCTGAGCCTCAGCCCGCGGCGCCGCAGGAGCTGGAGATGCCCGCGCTTCAGAGCAGCCTGGCCTTGGGCCTGGAGCTGAGAGCCGCAGTCGGGAGCCAGTTTGATGCCGCGAAAGCCGTGGAGGAACAGCTGAGAAAGTCGTTCCAGATCCGCTGCGGCCTGGAGGAGAGCGTGTCCGAGGGTGAGGGGGGCGGGCGGCCGGCCGCGCGCGCGGGAGTGAGGGCGAAGGGGCACCGCTCACCTCTGTCCCCGCTGCGCTCTCAGGGCTGAACGTGCCGCGCTCCAAGAGGCTCTTCCGAGACCTGGTGAGCCTGCAGGTGCCGGAGGAACAGGTTCTGAACGCCGCCCTCAGGGAGAAATTGGCTCTCCTGCCGCCGCCGGCTCGAGCCCCGCCCCCAAAGGTGATGCGATCTGGGCGTGGGGCTTCCTCCGTGTACTCTCTTCCCCGAATCCTTCGTCCCAGTGTAACCTTGCTTTGGGTCCCACTTCTCAACAGGAGCCACCTGGGCCGGGGCCAGACATCACCATCTTGTGTGACCCAGAAACACTATTTTATGAATCTCCACACCTGACCCTGGACGGTCTGCCCCCTCTCCGGCTTCAACTCCGGCCCCGCCCTTCAGAGGACACCTTCCTCATGCACCGGACACTGAGGCGATGGGAAGCGTAGACCCCCAACGATCTGTGGAGGGCTAGTTCGTATTTTTGTGTTAAACTATTCGTCAGAATAAAGTAATTTTGCTAGTAAATGGGACTCTTCTTGGAGGCCTAAAATGGGGTTAAAATCTCTCTAGCGGGTTTGTCCACTTAGCCTCAGGTTGGAAGCTGCCTGGAAGTTTGAGTTTGGAGGCTTTTTTGGAACTTGGTGGAGTCATGGCAAGTAGAAAACAGTCCACGTTAGAGGTTTAGATATCCCTCAGTTCACAACCTTACCCACCTCTCCCTGACTTTAGCCACAGCTAAGGCCTGTTTTACATCAGGTGATTGTTCTCTGTACCACTTATTCCGATTTTTGGAAATGCAGGGCCTAGCCTATCACAATTCACGGAGGCCTTCTCTGCTAACCTGTCTCAAGGAGCTTGCAAGCCAGCTGCTTGCACTGAGTTACTGAAATTATCTCCTTTTTACCTTTAAGGGCCTTGCCTATCCTGTTACACTTGAGTAAAGTTTGAAGTTCCAGTAACACCTGACAAGCCCCTGAAGAGCTTCATGTTGTAAACTGCTTATAAATCTGATTCCACAGCACCAAAAAGGTCTCTGGTCTATCTGTGAGCATTTAATCCAAAGCACTTTTTCCTACCTCCATTGACAAGTTAGCCTTCTGGCCGGGCGCGGTGGCTTCCGCCTGTAATCCAAACACTTTGGGAGGTTGAGGTGGGTGGATCACCTGAGGTCAGGAGTTTGAGACCAACCTGGCCATCATGGTGAAACCCCATCTCTACTAAAAATACAGAAAATTAGCTGGGCTTGTGGCCTGTAATCCCAGCTACTCCAGAGCCTGAGGCAGGAGAACTGCTTGAACCTGGAAGGCGCAGGTTACAGTGAGCCGAGATCGCACATTCCAGCCTGGGCAACAAAGTGAAACTCCCACCTCAGGAAAACAAAAATAAGTTAGCCTTCTGCCCAAGGCCCTCACAGAGCTTTTTGGGGGAGGGAAGACAGACCAAGTTACACACCAAAATTTGCATTACACACCTTTTCCTGTCTAGGCTTCTGTGTACTTTTGTGTGGACTTGGCTAGCAAGCAACAATCAACCCAGCCACTGTAAAACTTGCCTTCTTTGAGACAGAGGAGAGAAGAAGAGGAAGCACAGGTTCTGGTGGGAAGCGCCACGTCTTCCCCACCAGCTAGAAAGTACCCGACACAGGTGTGGGGGCCACTGCCCTAGACATCAAGTTTATTGTGCTGTTCTCACATTCAAAACCCAACCCCCTCTCCCACTGGGGGACGGCAGAGGGAAAGATTTTCACAGTACCTTCGTGCCTCCCTACCAGGCTTCCCCCTCTAACCCTCAGTCCATCTATCCATGGTCCACTGAAATGCAGCTAGGGAAAAGGGCTGAGGAGATATGGGAATCTCTCTCCTTGGGAGAATAGGAGGAAAGGGCTAGAGAATTTGATATCTTTCCACCTCCCATGCCCTAGGAGAGCAGAGGTCAGCAAACAGTCCATGCCATCCAGCCTGGCAGGCTGTGGGAGAGAAGATGGTGACTCCAGCACAGTCAGCCTTGCTGCGCAGGTGTCAGAGGCGTAGGGAGGAGGCTGAGGCGGCAACGGAAGAAAAGCTTTCTTTGCAGATCCAAGAAAGAAAACTATTTTTTGAGTCAGAAAGGAAAGACCTTGGGACGCTTTCCTCTTCCCCCAGGTCCTTATGAGCAGCGAGGGCAGCCTCTTCACACTTTTGTTCAAGGGGCCACTTAGTGGCTGGGGGATCGGGCCTTGTGGAACAGGTACACAGGACGCTGGAAGCCTGAGGGGAGAGACAGTGATCAGAAGGGGTTGGCAGCACCTCCCGACGGGATCTGAACTCTGTCAGGACCAGCCTTCCCAACAAAATAAACCAGCCTTACCCTTAGAGGTGTTGTGGGGTGTGGCCACAAGCTCATAGCTGGAGAAGCCCACTTCTGGGGATGTCAGGTAAGAACTGAACTGCTCTGGCTTCAGCTGGATTCGGTAGTAGTTCTTGTAGATTGCTTCCTAAGGAGAGAAGCAAAGGACCACTTTAGCATGCTGCCACCTCCCCTGGCCAAGAGTGATGCCCAGCCCGAGGGCCTGATTTTCACCTTGTTCAGAAATTCTTCTATATTCCCTGAGGCCTTTTCTTGCCTCAACCAAAGGAAGGATTATTCCCCATTTCCACCACACCCAACTCACCGTAAGGGTCTTTCTCTTGCCGTAGGATGACCAGGGTTGGGGCTCTAGGACCAGGATGCCCCCAGGGCGTAAGTGCCGATAGATCCGGCGAAACATGCGCTTCAGGCCCTCATCTCCCCAGTTCAGATGCACCCACTTGGTGAGGCTAAGGCAGAGCACCACATCATACTCAGGTGTTTGGGCCTCCACCAGGTCATCTCGATCCAGCACATAATTACCCTGTGGGCAAGAATCAGCAGTGAGGTCAACAGAGGGAATCAAAGAACCCCTGCTTCCAGGCAACCTGCCCTAAGGCCGACACACAGTCCTGCGGCCTCACTTTAGCCCTCGGTCATATTCTTCTCAGACTAACTCCCAAAAGGGGCCCTCTCTGAGTTTTGTTTTCTCCTCTACACCTTCCTGGCCTCTGCTTCTTCCTACTGGTGGTAAACCAAAAAACGTCTAGAGGGAGCCTGGATAATTTTAAATGGTGCAAATTATCCATGAGGTCTTACAAAGCTGGGGTCCCAGGACCCTATCCTGTGCTTACTCTCACCCACAGACATTAAGTGGACTGACTGCAATTAGTTGCAAGCGTTTAACCCAGGTTTCAAACCACAGGCAGACCTGTGGTTCCTTCTCTGCAGTTGGGGTTGGCAAAGTTTCAGGCCTATTCTTTCCTTCCTCTGAGAGATATGAAGAGCTACATCCTTCAGGAAACCTTTTCTATAAGATAAGCTCATCACAGCCCTCTAGAAAGACCATTCTTCAGGCCTAACCCAACACAGTGCCAAAGATCCCAGCAGACAGCCTAACTGGGATGTTTTCTGGGAGCTGTGTGCGGTCAGGGGACACTGTGGTGGGCATGGGACTCTCTCCTCTCTGTGAAGAGTTTCTGGCTCTTCCCTCTCCTACTATCTAGGGTCAGTGTGGAGAGGATCTACAGCCAAGCCACTTGGGTACCTGACATTCTTCAACAAACTGTCTAGGAAAACAAAAGCAGCTGATGGGAACGAGGTCTCTATCGATGGGCAGAAATGCCAGTATTAGTCTGCCGCTACCGTAATCTCCTCCCCAGAAGACATTCCATGCCTGACTCCCATTCTCAGGCTCCTTCAGTAAATCTGAGGACCAAGTTCCAGCTGGATTGAATCCCCTAGCGAGCAGCAGCAGCCAAGCCAGGAGCTGGGCAAAAAAAGTCCTCCACTATTTTGGAGATCCTTGCAGTCATGACAAAGGACTCCAGGGTCAAGGCCCCAAGGTAGAGAGGTCAACTTTCCGGGTTATAAAAGGGAAGAGATGCCCAGCAGAGGCTCTCACTTGCCAACCCAGATGCCCCTTTTAAAGGATCTGGGTCATAACCTTCCCTGCTACATTCCCATTTAATCTCATCTTCACATTTGGCCCCTATTCCAAGAGCCTCTGGACCCTCTTACCGTGACGAAGACAACATTGTTGGGGAAGACTGATGTGTCCGCTCCATCCAAGGGCACTTGGGGGGCAGCGATGGGGCCCCGGCTGGCAGTCAGCGAGGCTGGGAAGCAGCTCCTCTTTCGGACAGTGGTGGCCCCTTCCTCACCCTCTGCCCCTGGGTCCCCTTCCAAAGTCTGGCGTGGGAGACGCAGCTCCTCAGATAGGTAGTGTCGGATGTTTTGGCGGGCAGAATGGATGAGGCGGGAATCTATATCTAGGCCCACCATACGGGACGGGCCCCACTTGCAGGCAATGCTCAAGGTCAGATGGCCTACATTGCAGCCGAGATCTAGGACGTCCCGGCCCCGAAACCACTCGGGCTTCAACACCCGAAGGCGCCCATCCTCACAGGAAGGATTTCGATACCCATAGTACTTGCAATAATTCCCATACTGGAACTTGCGCTGTTGCTTTTTGAAGCCTGCTGCAGGCAGTGGGTGCTGGCTGGTGGCGGCCTCCCCAACTCCCTCGGCCCTTTTCCTTGGAACCCTGGCCTCCACCCCTAGCCCCTGCCTCCGACTTGCTGGAAGTCCTGCGACGTTTGCGATGTCGGGAGGAGGAAGACGGGGGTGCAGAGGTAACTGAGGCAGCTGGAGGGGCTGATAGGGAGCCTGAGGGACCCTGCAGAGCAGATGGAAGGGGAGACACCACTTCATCCCTGCAGTTGATGGCTGTGTTGAGTTCATAGGGTTGGGGGGCATCCCGGTTCTGGCCCCTGTGCCGCGGGTGCTGTGTGGTGCCCTCCCCTTGGAGTGAGGGGGTGAGAGGAGCTGTGGGCGGCACAGGGGTGGGTCTCACTCCCTCCGGCTGCCTGCTGCTGCTGGTGGTGCTGTCCCCGGTGTCTATGCCGCTTCCGACCAGTCTTGAGTGGCGAAGCAAGAACTACATGGCCCTCATCAGTGCAAGTATTGAGGCTGAGCGGGTCAGTAATATCTTTGGGGATGAGGATCTCCACTGGATCTCGCCCTTTGGCCGGAAGAGGGGATGACTTAGGGGTCTCCGCGTTGAGGGCGCGGCTCACTTCCTCATCCAGGAGACTATTCAGGTTTAGGGGATCAAAGATATTCCCCCCCAGGAGGAAGTTGGAGGGTAACACAGAGTCACAGTCCGAATTCACTCGCCTGCGCCTCTTGAAGGCCGGATGTTTGAAACCTCCTCCACCTCCCCCTACATTACAGCTATTTCTCCTCTTGCCCCCGCCTCCCCCAGGTGGCCGGTGGGGCTGATAGCCATTGCGGGGTCGAGGAGGGGCAGGGGGGCCCAGCTCTGTCCCGCCCCCTCCCCGGCGCTCCTCCCCCACGTCCGGAGGAGCGGCTCTCCCCGGGGGATCCGACAGGCTGGCCTCTCCGTGCGACTGCGCCTGGGGGCCGCCCCGGGGATTGGCCGCAGCCCCGGGACTCTCCCTGCGGACCCCAGAGGCCGG